AAGAAAAATTACAATAAAAAATTCATAAATGAAGTTGGTATTCAAATTTAAATTAAATTTGAAAATTCAAATATTATCTTTACAGAGCCGAACCGATCGGTTTACGTCTCTCAGTGGCCAAATACAAAGTTTGTTTACGTTGGCGCCCCCACAAGCATATAACTCTATCTAAAGCTCATGCGTGTGATAATTAGACCATACCGCACATGGCGTGTGGTAATGCAAGTTGTCATTTCGTTACATCAACTTTCCTTAAATGCATGGGATCACTCTTTTACACCTTTCTTTTCTAACAATTTTGGTCGGTTGTTGCCACCAAAATCACTACCCATTTTAATTTTTCATTGACTCACCGGTATATGATAAGTGTAATTTAGTGGACAATTTTTATAAAATTTCGTAAAAAAAATATTTATAAAAAGAGATAATTACGAATATAGATGCAATTAATCTATTTTTAAAAGGATGACATAATTTTTATTGTAGCGGATTAAAATATTCAACATATCCTTAATAAATTCACGCGGTGAATATTGCTCTAACATATACACAGAAATATTTTAAACATTTTAGCCTATGTACTACATTGAAAATCATAACCAATTATACTTTTCACTCTAAAAAAATGGTATAAAGGTCTTTATAGAAAATTCAAAATATTATTTTTTAAAGGTAAAATAGCAAATACCTTTACCTTTAACACAATAATAAAACAATATTTTAATATATATGTTTTGTGTACATGCATGCCCCGAGTACAATATGGCTAATAAAATACTATATTAAATAATATTTTCTTTAAATATATAATACTAACAATTTTACTACGAAACCACAAGTCGACAACGTGTCTTAATCTGAACCTGGAAAGAATAAATAAAATGATTTTTCATATTGACATTTTCTGTATAAGCGGAATAATTTAATAATTAGTTCATAATATTCTATGTAGCATCCAGTAAAATGTATTGTTTTCTAATTTTTTATAATAGTTGTTATATATATATCAAGTGTAATTACCTAGGAGAACAAACATTATCTCCATCATATGTAGCTCATTTTTATTATTTTTACAAAAAGATTTTACCAACCAAAAAAATAATTCATTAAATAATAACATATTTCCGGTTGGCAATATTCCATTATTAGGGGAGAGGGACTGACTTGAAGCTGCAAAAGCATAAATTATTTGAATATCTGACTGTCATGTATTTACAATATATATTATTTTATGATAATTCTTTTAAAACTTATATATAGTGTAATAATAACAGACTGCACCAATATCTATATATATATATATATATATATATTGAACATACCAAAGGCAAGGAACCCATAATTCATTCCTTAAAGCCTACTAAGAATAAACATAGAAAAACATAATTTAAAAACTCTTAGTAGCTACTTAAAATCAGATGTATTTTATAAAAAAAAATTATATTAATTTAGTTTCCATATTTAGTTAATATTAACCTTTCTTTTCTTATTAACTAGATAAATGAGGAAATTTTAATTTCTCTTCTTTTAAATCACTCATACCGTTAAATTAAACCGTAAAAATTTAATTTGATTTGAAATCATATAGTTTAGATTTTTTTTTTTTTTTTTTTTTTTTTTTTTTTTTGTTTCAAACTGTTTTTTTTTTTTTTTTTTTTTCAAACTGCCGCTTTAATTAAGTTTAGTTCGACTATTGTCTTGAGACCGAATCAAAAGCGATTAGAACATCCCTAATATATACAGTGAAAAAATCAATGGTGATGCACCCATAATTCATTCCTTAAAGGCTACATCTGCTTTCCATTATGTCTGTCTGATTTTGATATGATACCTTTGTAATATTGCTACTGCCAGATATCAGACTTTGCTGTTTCTTTCTCGTATAGTCATTTGACTACCTCTGTCCCTATGTTTATGTGGTTTTTAATTTTTTTTTTTATACCATTTTATTAGCTCGGTTTCGCTTTCCTTTACTCTGACCTAACCAGCAGGACAACTCATTGATCCTAAGTTCATTCAGACTCTCCTGACTCACATAAGATTTAAAAAAAAAAAAAAAGAAAGAAAAAAGATAGAAAGAAAGAAGAAAAACCTAACCAGAGAAATGGTTAAGCTGTGAAATCTCCCTCCACATAACTGACACAGGTTATAAGGTTCCCAAGGTTTTTGGGTGTGCATGAATTTCACCATACTCAATACTCAATAGCCTTTCCATTTACGTTACCGTTTGGGAAAAGGAGTTCTACTAGCTATGGATGGATTCTGGTTTGTTTATATCAGGAGCCATATTTTGCTATTTTTGTTGGGTTCTTAAATTATAGCCACTGTTAAGAATTGGAAGACGTAATTTGGGCATAGACAGATTTCAGACGAACATGAGCACTATTCACTGGCTGTGTTTTTATTAAAAATGACAAGAAAATCCATATAAAAGAATAGAGTTAGAATTATAAAATTAGAACTTTCAAAACACGGGAAAATACTGATATTTTCCTCTCATCCAAACAAAAGATAGGAAAATAATAAAGGAAAGAGAATTGAATTTTTTATGTTATCTTCTCTTTTTATTTTCTTTTTTGTCTCGTCCAAACAAAGTTTAAGATTATTAGATTAACACCACACCAATAGTGTATAATATAACATTTAATAAAAGAAATGAAAACTAACATGAAACTAGCATAAACATTAGATGGTGAAAGCTAGTTGATATGTGACCAAGTGAGTCCCTTTATTATTTCTAAAATGGTGGCGTTTATAATGAATTATAATGTTTGGTCAGAGAGCGAGAGAATCAGACATCGCACTATCTATACCTAACACAGTCTTGTCTGACCCAACGTCACCTTAACCAGACACGAAAATAATGTTCTTCCAATCAAATTTCTGTTATCGACGTCTCCAGCCAGCCTTCTTTCCCATCAGTTCTCTTACGTGTCTTAATACTATTGGTCCAATAGATCTCGTATCCAAGGCCCCCCCTCTGGGACGGGACCACCACAGTATCCGTGTCACAATCATCATCATCCGCACACGGCAAGTTAAATACCGGAGCGGGGCCAGTTGCTCTGGATATTGACGTGTCAAGTGGATACCGTAATGAAGTCGTCTTGGGATGTGGAATTGGAAAGTCGGACGGTGGAGGATTAATGGGTGGTCAAGTTCAGAGGTGATTTTTGATTGAGAAATAGTATGTTTCCAATGTTTGGTTATTGCACGTGTCGTGTCGTGGTTAATGTATGTTTTTATTGATGGTTGTGAATTACGAGGATGTAATAATACGAGACGGTTAGTAATTGTAGAAATTGTACTGCCTAATAGATCTCTTTATAGCCCTTGACTCCCTGAAGCAAGTACACGCGCGTTACTAGAGTACAATCACAGTGTACTTTTTTTTTAATATATTTTTTATTGGTTAAATGTCTGTAATATTTCATTATTTAGTTATTTACATTTAATAAAATAATAATATTCTTTTGAAAGGAATAAAACAATAAGATTCAGTCTCTCATATTTACTATTGAATGATCATTCACTGTGTTTGGAAAGGAGAGAAAAGAAAATAAGAGGAAAATAAGGAAGGATTGTATTGTTTATTTTTCTTTTTTATTTTTCACCTTATGTTTGGATGAGAAGGAAAATAAGATGAGAAAAGAAAATGTTAGTACTAAAGATTATTACAATTTTACCCTTAATAAAAGAATAAAAATAATAATAAATTAAGAGAGTAATTATGTAACAAAATAAGAGAAACTTGCACAATAAAAATTAAAATAATTCAAACCCAGCATTAGGATATGCACAAGTATCACAAATACATAAAAACTATTAGGGGTTATTTTGTAATTTCTGTCAAAACAGTCAGACTTCTCCTCAAGAATTCACAAATTCTCTCCATTTTGGAGAGATTAAAAAGTGGTGGGCCCGGGTGGAATTTGGTATAAATTTTCCTTCCGCCCTTATTTTCTCCCATGTTTCCAAACAAGGCAAAGTAACTTTTCGAAGTTATTTTCTTTCCCTCCCATTTCCCCTCCTTCCCAAACAGAGTGTTAATTTCTTCCTTTAACAGTAAAAATGAAACTTTTAATATAGAGGGACTAAGTAATTAAATAGGATTAAAATTCATGAATGAATCCATGATTTTGTGAAAAAATGAAAAAGAAATAGTAATTTCAACCAAAACCACTAAATAGACATGAAGCATTTTAATGGTTCAAAGTTCAAACTTTGGATCTCTTACATTCCAAAAAAAAAAAAAAAAACCTTACATTCCAAAAAAAAAAAAAAAAAACATTCCATTCTAACCTAATAGGTAATTTTTTTAAAAAAAAAAAAAAAAAACATTCCATTCTGAACCTAATAGTAATTTTTTTAAAACAATTTATATACAATATATTAAATTGTACTACCTCTCTCGCAAAATATAAATACTTTTGCAAGTAATTAAGATAAAAAATAATTTAATTAAATTGCTCTTGATTTTGTTATAATCTAAGAGAGTTAATTGCTTCTTGTTCATTGTGCAAAAATCTTAAACGACTTATATTTTAGAACAAATGGAGTAATATCACATTTCAAAATTATCCATTCAGACAAAGTGATAATGAAAGCAAAATCTTTGATGCTATGCGATACTAAAAGCAAAACCTTTGATACTACCTTTGTACATTCTAAGAGGAAATACATACTTACACCCAATGTATGAAGTCACTTATACACTAAATCAATTACAAATAATATTTGATTAAAACACTGAAAAAAAGGGAAAAGAAATTTTTTTTTTTGATTAGCTTGGTGTATGAGACCCACTTATATATACCTCTACCAGATCACTCATACACCAGGTACATGCAAGAAATTTCCCTATGCGTGTGTTTGCTATAATGTATAATCTACACCGTGAGGAATTCTAGCACTATTGTTGAATAGCTTTTTGTACATTCAGATGCTATATCTAACAATGTACAATCTAAGCAAGCTTTTAATATCTTGTGCAAAGGATGTGATATATCAACAGCATAAAATAAATTTAGCAAAAGAATCAACAACCAAGAAAAAATGTCCAAATAAAGGTTTTTACTCCAACAAAGACAAATTTATATGCCAATGCACTCTACCATCCCCAAAATTTAGGTCTCAATACCTTGAGACTGCATGGAATTGGCATGAGCCAGCCCCACCATGTAGAAGAAAGTAAAAATAGAAGCAGAAAGTGCACATGGATTTTTTAAAGAACATAGTTATTGATCATAATTCCTTCAAACTTTTAAGGCCAAAGATGCCAAGGAAAATGATCCATGCACAGGAGAGAAACTCCATAGCTGGTCATGTGATCTCTAGTTTGGGAAGAAGCCCTCACATTAGCAATCTTAAACTTCCAAGCCTGTCATTTTGCATATGGGGCAGATATTCTTCCGGACAAGCCACTGCCTAATGCAGTAAAAGTGAAAGTCATGCCCACAATCCAACTTCCCAAGCTCTTCACCATCAACATAATCCTCCTGCAAATTTTTCGAGGTTAAAAAGAGGGAAAATGAAAAGGACTGGGATGTACCCAAAATGACACTAACTAAATGGCATTTATAATTGATATCCATGATATATACAAGGACATAGAAAGGTCAAAAGATTTGTGCAGCTCTTACCTGACAAATACAGCAAGGTTCATTTTCCAGGGAAGATCCTGTTGCAATTCCTTCATACTTCTGCCGCTTCATATGTGCCTGAATAGCATCTTCACTTAGTCCAGTGGAAACATCTCCAATTTGCTCCTCTAGGGCCAGTAGCTCCTAAAGAACAGAATCATTATTTACAGAACAATGTCCAGAATAAATGATAGCAATAAGAGCCAATTTAGCTTACTATTTGCTTTAAAAGGCAATGCAAATGCAAATTAGAATCTAAAAGAAAGAAAGCAGCCAAGAAATGACAACCACAAAATATCTTAGGATTACAATGTTACCTCATAGGACATGTTATCCACATCAAGACGCATATCTTCATGCAGGTCAGGCTCTTCAGGGACACCATACAACACTGAACGGTCGATGACCATCACATCCTGGCATGCCACCAAATTTTTAGGCCTCATTTGGTGTAAATCATTTTAAAATGTAGAAATTCATTTCAAATGAATTTTGATGCTTGTTATTATCAGTTTAAAGAGTGAAAATCAATTGAATTCCACGTCACTTGTGTTTGATATAAATTTAGAATCTTAAAGAAAATTTGGAAGAGAAAAAATAAAATAAGAAAAATAACAGAAATAAGAGAGACAGAGAAGAGACAGAGAGTGAGAAAAAGAGGAAAAGATGAAAGAAAAGATACAAAAAATAGAGGGAGAGTTAAAAAAAAAAAAAAAATAAAAGAGACAGAAAGAAGGACAAAATGGGCTTTTCATCCAAAAAATTTAGTTGTGTAAGTTCTATGAAATCCTTTTGCAATCAATTTTGATAGAATTTAGTTTAGTTATGTTCAATTCCATATAACTGAATCGTGGAATTTAGATGAACTTTTCTTAACCTAATAAACACTCAAAATTGGTAATTCAATTCAATTCCATAAAATTTTATAGAATTCATTTATGCCAAACTGGGGAGTTTAATAAATCGACTCTTAGTCAAAATTCAAAGAAAGCTAAACAATTATTTGACCATATCAAGAATCCTTGATAGCTCCCATAAGATTGCAATAAGATTCACCAACTGCTAAAACTTTAATATGATATTTTGTGCATTTATTTCAATCAATTTACGTTAAGTAGATTTATGTTCTTTAATATGAGAATTAGAAGTAAATATATAACAGCTTCACCTCGATGGAATGATTTTTGAGATTTCTCTCTCTCTCTCTCTCTCTCTCTCTATATATACTCTCTCTCTCTCAATTATACGATATAATATATATATATATAGATACTATAATATATAAGACGAGCATAAATCTAGATAGAATTTACTTCAAATATATAAGAGCGAGCATGAATCTAGATAGAACTTACTTCAAAATGTAAGGAGCCCCCCCAGCGCACGAGTGCCAAAGCATTGCGAACCTGATAAAGTCAAGAATGAACAAACATGAAAAATGTCTCTAATCCTAAAGATGAAAGCCGCGTGTATTAAAGAAAAAAAAAAGATCTGTTGAGGTCACAGAACTTGCAAATTTAGTTACACACCTTAACAAGAGAAAGAAGCAACTAAGGCAATAACTTAAAGCATGAATATTTAGAACAAATGAGTGAAAACACCAGATAAAGAAAATGCATAATAAATCAGTAAAAAGGCTATCCTTGTGCCAATTTTTTGCCCCTTATCTTATTTCATAATTAAGTACATCCAAATAATTGTTTTTATTAATTTTATTTTAAATAAAGTTATTTGTATTTCTAACTAGAATTTAAATAAAGGCCATAACGTATCATATCAGCCATTTTGTAAGAGACATTAAGCCTTTCCATAACATTAATCACCAAAAGAATACTGGGATTCGAAATTTCAAATGAAATTACACAAAACAGCTGTTAGGACCATTCTGAAACGGAGGAACAATCATTATACTTTAATAAACCTGTTGGAACCTTTCTCAGAGATTCACGTGCAAGGTCTCTTTGATTATGCAAAAAATCCCCTGGCTAAACCTGTTATGCAATTTGAGGTCCTAAATGTCAGTTATCTTCTCTAATGCTCCAGGTGTCATTTTGAGCTCCTTACTATCTCTATATGGAATCCTCAAACTCTCACTGCCTCTCTTAGAGAAGTGGGTGAAAATTCACCTGGGTTCCCACAGGTCCCACAATAGGAAATAGGCAATGAAGGAGAAGAAAAATAGTGGTGCTAGGAAGAGGATTTTCCCGCAAAAAAAAATTTCTTTGATGTTATCTAGACGACATTTATATGTTTCTTTATCAGGATTTTGAAGAAAATATTTAGCCTGGTTCCTCTCTTCAAGACGCAAACTTTACCAGCCCTACCTCAAACAATGAAATTCATAAAGGACATTAAAGCTTAAGGAGATGGTTTATTGTGCCTACCTCAGAAACCAGTCTTCTTCTCCTCTGAGCAGCAGTCAAAGAGCTCAGTGCCACTTCAGTATGAGGACCAGTTTGTCTCTCCAACCATGTTCTCAATCCTGACCTAAGACGCATCTGAGGAGACCTAGCATTACCAACACTAGCAGATAATTCCCTTTCTCTTCCAGCAGTAGAAAAACCCAAATGCCATGGGCAGTAGCTACTCTGCCTTTGAGATTCGGCATGATTGACAATGTCTGATGTTCTCTGTGCATATTGCTGAGCCATGTTGCCTCGCAGAAACCAAAATGAAGCAGGTAAATGATTAACATGTGAATTAGAGCCATTTCTGGAACCAGAACCAGTGTTTCTAGGAGAATTTATCCCAGGGACAAAGTTCTGGCTTGTTAACAAGTGTTCCGAATTTCTCCTTTGAGATAAAGGAGGAAGCATGTCATGTCTCAGATTGTTCCTTGAGTTGTTTTCTAGAAGAAAATCATCACCTCCATTTACAGCGTAAGCCGAAATAGATGGCAGACTGGTTCTTGACCTGGTGACTGCATTCCACTGCAAAGGCTGTAAAGTTTCTGAAGAATAAGGAAATTGTACAGGTTGCTGCATTGGAGGAATTGGCTGAACTATTCCTGTCATCGAGCTAGTATTTAGAGCACAATCAAATGGGACAAGAACACCTGATTGATCAGGTAATTGTGCATAAGAATTCCTCATGGTCCATCCCATCAAGTTAGCTGGCAAAAAATCTTGTTGATTTGCAGTTCTTCTCGGACGAGTATTTCTTTGGTGGGGTGCAGCTTCTCCTACTAGCCCTACGGTTTGATGGATGCCAGAGCTGGCTCCACCACCAGCTCTAAATCCACTTCCTGCTGTACTAGAAGGTTGATGTGTGACAAAAGCTGAACCTAAACCAACTGTTTGCTCTGAAGCCCTGACATTTGGATGATTATCCATTGGAGTTGGTAAATTCAATCTTCTACTAACGCTTTCTTGAGTAGTAACAAGTTGTTGAGCTAGCCTTGAGCTTTCACCGAAAGAAAGTTGTGCAGAAGCATCTTCAGGTGCTCTTCTTTTGCAGGATAGACGCCTACCAATTGATGATTGACCTTCTCCACACTCATTTTCTTCCAGCACATACCCAGAAATTCCGGAGGAGATCATGAGTGGACTGGAATTAGAAGGATCACTGGCAAATGGATTCTGATCAGCGTCTAATTCACCTCTTTTGAATGGACTTAGACACAAACCTGTCGCAATATTCAGATTTGCATTGATGTCATGGCCATCACATGGTTCATTTAAATCTGTGTTTTCAGGGACCGCACTAAAACTAGCCTGTTGCAAAGACGATTGCCTACCTGCTTGCAGACTATTTTCCAGGCTTGCATTAATTCTACGAGGAAAAGGATCAATCATGGGCCCAAAATACATTCCCAAGCTTTGATCAGTTGCAGCACCAGCAATAGGGGAACAAAGTAAACCATCTTCAGCTAATAAATCCTGAAATCGAACTGGAGTTTGAGTGATCAAACTGGAAGTAGATTGATCCATCCTGTTAGTGTTAGATAGCAATGCATCTTCAGCTAATACATCTTGAAACTGAATAGGGGTTTGGTTGTTTATGCTATAGCTAGATTGACCCACCCAGCCTATAACAGGATGGCTATCATGAATGGAATCATCAACTGGAACTACATTATTCTGATCCCATCCGAGATTGATGCCATTGGACCCGCAGTCCAAATAAAAGGTTTCACGATGTGCATTGGAGGAGGTGCTATCTTGGCCTTGCATCATGGCCAATTGATTTTCTATTTGGAGGCCAATTACCCAAGGCTGCCTTGCTTGAAGTAGGATGTCCCTCCAGACCTGAGAATACAAAAAATATATTAGAAGCAACTATGCAAATAATAAAAAGAGTTGCATTGAATAAATCATATCAGCCTTAATACATGCAGACTCAGGATTATATAAACTTAATTTACACAAATTAAAGTAAATGAGCTACAAATAAAACATAGATTCTCCAGATCTGAAATATAAAAATTACATAAATAATGCAAGGCTTGATTGATGAATATTACAGTGTTTCACTTAAACTCGCAACAGAATAATGGAATGCTAAACTGATAGAAACCATTTGCCATTTACATCCAAACTGCTTAAATATTAACCATTGACATGAACTAAATAACAAATTTGACAAGTAGGTCTTGAAAAGCACTTGGTATACTACAGACCATGGGTCATCATATCAATATGTTTTGAAACAAATATTAAAAACGTTTCATCAATAGCCATAGACATGCCACTTGATCCTCTTAAACTCTTCCTTCTTCATGCAGAAAGGACTATGCACTTTTATGAAATTTCAATAGGGTTGAATGTTTTAATGTAAAAAAAAAAAGGCCTTTCGAGGTGCATGATTAAACACCAAATTCACCACAAAATTTAATTTCAAACTTGAGTCAGCCAAATAATTAAAATACATAGGCCCAACCGTGAAGTTGCTTGATAAATACAAAAGAGGATGTCAGGGAAGGCAGCAAAATAAATCAATGAAAGCATACAAAATTGTGAGAAGTAAAATTACGAAAAAAAATTCCATGATAACAAAGAGAGGTGACATAAACCAAATATGCAAATAAATATGTGTAATTGATAAAACATAACAACCAGCTTTTAACATATTTGACTCTAAATACACATGTAGGAATATTAACTCTAATATACAGAGTAAGAATATCATCCAAAGCAGTTGACAAAGAGCCAAACAACATGTTAACATGATCAAGAGTGCTGTTAAACATTCTATTCTTGGATCCACAAACTTGGAAGTAACGAATCTGTTATATAAGATAACAAAAATTCAGAAAAGAAGTGGAGAACAATAATATAACATTTGGAGGGAGATAAAAAGGACGTAGAGGGGGTACACTGCAATCACTGAGTAGGATTTAACCCAAACTATTAAGAAGCAATAATCAAAAATGAAAATGTCATTAATGAACTAAAAAAATAAGATCTAAAGGGTCACAAGAGTTCCCACATAATTTTCAAAAATTTAGTATAGCAACATGAGAATGTCTACAGTCTGACAAGATTATTTAACCATAGATATTTATAAAGTAATCAATATTTTCAACATGCATTCACAAATTTTCAAATTAAAATCTACAACTGTGAGGATTAAAAAGTCCAAGAAAACTTATCCAAATTAGTAAAAGGAGGTGAATATGTTAAAAATCAACTAATTATCTAAAGTCAGATGTCAAGAAAAAGAAAAGAAGTTTGAAAATTAATAACCCTTATCCCCTTTTTTTAAAATTGTACATTGTGTAGCTTCAAGCACAAAGAAAGAATATGAATGCTTTGACCAAAATATTTTCTACAGACACAGGGTTGACATGTCACCAACAAGTATAGAGGTTGTAGATCATTGAAGCAGAGTAACAAAATTAACGCTAGAGGGAACAAAAATAGCCAAAAAAAGAAAATGTATGCCTTCATCAGTAGTGATAAGGATCTTGCTCTAAACCAGGGAAATTTTGACTGGAAAGCTTCGGATGAATATTGGAGCCAAAATTGAATTTTTCAAACAAGATGTGATTATGCGGTCTATACACATGAACAATGATCAGAAAACAAATTTCAAGTTTTGAGCAAAATTGTTGAGGTGTTTGGCAGGATGGTTTGCCATTTTTTTTTTAATGAACTCACAATGAAGATAGCCTAAACAGTAAATCCTTGTGATATTTCAACCAAAAAGCAGCATCAAATTAGTTCCAAAGAATTCTAAATCATCAGATCTGCACCTAAATTAATTATATATAATTCTAAAATTGAAAAAGCTTAATGTGAGTGTGTTCACTATAAATCACCAATAACACAAGATGGAAGAACAATTTTCAATTTACATGCTTCATTGATAAGACATCAGAAGTTTGGTCAATCAACCCCATTCAAACAAATTTTGTACATCATTTTTTATTTAAAAGGAAAAGGATTTCTTACATAGAAGACACAAAGTAAAACCATAGATCAACAAAAAGTTAAAACTATAAAAACAAATCAGCATAATCAAACCAAAACAGTGTGCTCATTAAAAAAAAAGGGCAAGAACTAATTTATCCAAACTGAACTTCTTAACAAGTATTCCAAACAATTGAATCGAAGTTATTTATTTATAGAAGCAATCAGACTAACATTGAACCATTGATTTGTGGATTTAAAATTATACTTCCAGACAAGTAAAACAAAAACTCAATTCAAAGTATACACAAATAATCAAGTGACAAAACCACACAGATATAGATATTAGTAATAGAAGTGGAAAAGAAGAGAAAATGAAATGAAAAAAAAAAAAAAGAGGAAAGAGATTATACCCAATACCCAAACACGGATATAGAATTTGAAAATGGATGAAAATGAAAGAGGTGTGATGCTACAAAGAACACAAGCCCTCCTCTTTTCTCACTCTAATTGTGTGTATGCCGAGTATCTGAGTGTGTGTGATGGGATTATAATGGGTATAAAGAGAATGATGCATGTACGAGAAAAATTTAGATTTAAAGGAATAGGAATCCGGGAAGAGCGAAATTTCCAATGATAGATATGAATCATAATAAGAGAAGAAGAGACAAGTATGGTAGTAAGGTGTCATGGTTGGCTGCTGACCAATTGGATTTCCACTCCGCATGAGCCCCTCACCCTGACAGCCCCGTGTCACACTTCTCTGCATGACTCTCTCTCTCTACCAGCGCTTACAGTTTTGCCAACTTTCTCTCTCTATATCTGAAATTTTATGGAAACAAACTCGCCTTCCAACGAGCGCCGTTATTTTCTTGCTTTCTATTCCCTTCTCTGCGTTTTGAATATGTGGTCCGTTTCAATTGTCATTTGGTTCGCTTCGTTTGGTTTGGTTTGGTTCGGTTCGCTCTTTCTCTCTAGTTTAATACTTTCCTTAACAGTGAGGAATTATTTCCTTTAGATGATATATTCATTGTATTTTGTTTTCTTGGGTCATTAATTTTCTGATGAAGCAATTACTTTTTTTTCATTGGCATATTGATTTTGGTCTAAATTACTTGTACCAATAAAAAATATGTTGATTTTATTCGCACTGTTAAATTATTTCATTATAATATAATTTCATAGAAAATAAATTACTTTTTCTAATTAAAATTTATCAACTTACACAACACAATTACCTGCTGTGTGCTTCTCTCTGTGTCTAAACTCTTGATAGGACAAAAATAACTTATCGTCATAAATCAAATTGGAGAGAACAACTTCGTATATATATATATATATATATATATCAAATTGGCATTTTAATGTAAAATCATATTTAATTTAATTATTTAAATGATCATATTATCAACAATTTTATTGCTTATATGAAATCTTTATCAATTCTAATAAGATCCATCGATCTTCTTTCTAGTCAACAATTGTCTATATGTATAGTAGGTATATATGGTCCAACTTATCCTTAGCTACTGACTAGAAATTAGAAAATGTATTATATGCTTACTGTATATTAATTTATCTACTTTCCAATATCAGTCTTTTGACCAAATTGGTAAAAAATAAATAAATAAAAAATCTTCATCGATTAATATATGAAACATGCTTACAAACAAAAATATTTTTTTCTTTGTGACGTTTTTAATTATGGAAAAAGTTTTTAATTAAAATATTATATTAAAAATTTAGCTACAATGTATAAAAACATATTTATAATATTCATTAATCATAATGATACAAGAAAAAAAAGAAAGAAAAGAAAGTACATATTATGATATTAGTGCTAGACAAAGAATTGGGCCGAAGTTTTAACTTTGGGCCTTAATGGGCTCTCCAAGCCTTTAGGCGAGTTTCGGCCTTCTACTTCGGCCAGCTATTACATAGTTCCCAATCCCACTATGCTTCGAAGATTTCTTTCCGACAAGCTAGGGTTTTAGGTTTATAACCTCTGCCAAAAGGAAAAAAAAAAAAATTTCCTTCAACAGTTATCGGAATCAATGGCGTCTAGGGTGTCGCTTAAGAGCAAAGGGAAAAGCAGCAGCGGGAAGGGAAACAAAGTTATGGAAGAGAAATCGATGGCGCAGTGCTTAAAGGAGTGGAGCACTTGGACTATGAAGAAGGCTAAAGTCGTTACTCATTATGGATTCATTCCTTTGATTATCATAATCGGTATGAATTCCGAGCCTAAGCCCCAGCTTTACCAGCTCCTGACTCCTGTCTGATCAAATCAATCGATGCCAGATCGGGATGGTTTGGCTTCTCTTCTTTTGAGTCGATGCCTATTTGTCGAATCTACATGGATTGATTGAGGGTTCTTATTTTAGCGTAGGAGATGTACGATCTATGGATTTTATGTAAGTCTGTGGATGGTTTAATTAATATAATATGTGAAAGTTTTTTTAATCGTATTTGTGGGTGTGGATTTTTGGTTGAATAATACAAAATATTTGCTGGTTAGGGTTTTCGTATATGTTATAACTTATACGTATGCCGTGCAATCTGTCCTCATCACATTAAAGTTTTTGTTCAGTTTCTTGGCTGCAGTTGTTGATTTGGTATGTGGAAGCTCAGCATATTTGATTTGAATTAATTGATTACACCTGGTTACAACCAACATATTTGCTTGATTACTTGTTTGTGATGACCAGGACGTAAGTATCCTCTTATCAATGAGGAAGAAGGAAAGTTGTTATTTATCTCTTGTTTTAGCTGTGGGGTAATTTCATTTTGTTTGGCCTTAATTACGTGCTTTATATCCTTTCAAATTTGATTGTGTACAGCAACAAATAACTAGCCTAAGCTTTGTTTCCTATATTTGTATGTCATTTGAACCGTTTAGGTAAGGGGTACAGTCAACAAATGACCAAAAGCTACTAAATTTGTTATCCTGGGTTTACTTCTCTTCAATCTATCGCTTACAGATTTGTGCTATAACCGTGCGCCTTTTTCCTTCTGGGCATGATTTTCCTTTTACGAAGTCTTGCATATTGGCATGTCCCTAAAATGATTATTTGTCTGCGTTTTAATTGCCTTTCTTGATGCTTATATCTTGCACGAATATAGCTCCAAATTTGCATCTATCTGAACTCATGAATTGATCATATGATATACATACTGATACTGATGGCTGTGCTTCTTCCGTAATCCTGTTTTTCATTTAATCCTTAATTTGAAGGCGAACTTGGAATCACCTGGACATACAAGTTTATGTTTTTGTGCCATGTTCTCAATATTTTGTTGTGATCTTAATGAAATTAGGGGATATAGAGCATTGCTATTTTTATGTTTTCTACTTCCTTTCTCTTTGCATAAAGCTTGTTGCTCTTCTTCAATGCATCTTGCTTATTGCTCTTGGTAAATGGATGAAGAACTACATCAATATCCATGCTTCAAGGAACCACAACTTGCATACCTATTAACAGACTGTCATTTTGATTCCTCATTTGAGAACATCTCAGTGAGGTATGGCCAGGGAGCTGTACCACATCTATACTGTTGGCACAAACAGTTCTAAGGCTCAAGCTGGAGCAGTTCCTTGCACTAGCCTCTGTTCAGTAAATGGCTGGCTGGCTTGTGTATAGCTTGTAGCTTTATAATTTATATGTTCCTACCTCTTTGCTGTATATAATGTCAACTGAATCCACATGCTTCATATTTTTATATTGCAGGCCTTTTGTAAAATTTTCTTCCCACATTCTAAATTTCCATCATGAACCTCATGATTGGTTTGTTTTGTGATTTGCTTGAGGCGTGCCTTGTTTCCCTGAGTCTGCACTTAATCTGTACTTGTGCATCAAAGTTTCAGGTGCCTTGTTAACTTCTTGGTCCCTTCTAAACCACTTTTGTTTTTAGATTTTAGAATCTAAAATCAGCAGAGAGACTGGATATATTTCTGTTCACTTAATATTAGAACCTTTATGTAGTTGTGTGGTGTAGCAAGAATTCACAAGTCTTTGGTTTGACCTGGAAAGATCGACTGCTTTTGATGGGTTATATTTGTTGAGGATGTTTATATTAATCTTAATTGTTTTTTTAATGTATATCAATTTCTCAGCCTTTGTACTAACATTAGCATCTAGCAAAAAGGATCGATCAATCTTAACGCAGCAAATTTGCAATTTAGGTGCCGAAGGCAGTGGTTTTCAACTGACAATATCCATCTCTCTGGACGTATAAAAGAAATTCATAAGATACCCACAAATGGTAGACAAAGCACGAGGATGTAACATAAAGAAGACTATAGAGTTAAAAGAGGGGAAGAGGGCTGTTGCCTGTGATTCCAGGGGCTTTACAGAGAATGTTGAAGGGTGAGGAAAATATAAAATGAGAAGTTCTTTCTTGTTTGGTTTAAGATGGCGTATTTATTAGGTAGTGTACTTCCACGTCTAATAGGTATGATTTATATGGGTTAGGTATGCAAATAAATTTAAATTAAATTATTCTGAAGTTACAAAGAAAAATGATGTTCATAATATAATTTAGAGTGTATTTAGATGTAATAATAATATATTCAAATGATAAGTTGGTAAATTAATTAATAATGGCATACTTCCTTTTGTATGGGGAAGAAGAATGGTATGCTTGAAAATTTGAATTAATAATGAACTATTAAGCAAAACGACTTTATAAATTTTTTGAGAAGTTGCACCTTCTTACTCTCCTTCAATTATAGTTATCAAACAAAGCTTAAATCTGAGGAATTAAGGAGGCTTAAAACTTGATTTATAACACGACTGATCTTTTACAAGAGGACAGTGAATCAATCTATTGTGAGAAAACAATATGATTAAGGGAAGTCATTTTATAATAATTTGGCTATTGTTATCATTTCTAAAGCATGCTTCACAAATTGTCACTCTACAATATTTAGCATATTACTCTTCTGGATTATTTTCACCACGGATGCTTTTGAAATATATTTAGTTATTTACCCATAGGAAAGATGAACTTAGAAGACCAAATGAGTATTAATTTAATGATATGAAATTATTTCTCTCACAGTGATATTAAGAATTCGAATATCAGTCAACTAATATTGCGAAGTGACAAAAATAAAGACTTTAACTATCACTAATTGCACTTTCTTTATTCATTATTATTAGTATTATTAGGTGAAAGTGGAAATTAATGTGAAGGCTTTGCTAGCAATGATTTGAAACTTGGGTATGTTTTACCGTTACCTCCATAGTCATATATATTATTTTTTAATGTATAAAAATTCCTGTCCTTTTCTCCTTGAATATTATTATGACAGGGACTGCTGATTTTACGCGGTATTGGACTCACTCACCTGCTACTGCAGCCATTGTTGACGAAACTGACTTTACAAGCTATTGCTGAATTCTCCTAGTTTCTAATAATAACTTGATGGGAGTAGTTTAGTTATAAGACAAATACTTTTATAATCCTACTCTGTTGAATAAATAGATACATCTATATATGTTTGTGATTTGTTTAATGTCTATATATTTGTATTAGTCGCTGAAATTTTAATTTTAAAATCATTCATGATGTTGCCTAGTAATCTATTACTATATATTAGAGAGATTTTCTAAAAAAAAAAAAAGATAACTAAAGAGCTTACACTTACAATTAGTATGGAGAATATTCATATTTTTAAATCTAAAGGGACCTTCTTTGTTAGTCTTTCCTATATGTGGTCAATCTAGTCGGTTGAGCCCGTTTTAGGAGAAAATTGTTTTTTTTTTTTTTTTTTTTTTTTATCTTATTACCTATAAGAACCTGATATATTTGAGAGAGAGAATTTTCTAAAAAAAAAAAAATATTATAACTAAAGACTTCTTTGAGGATAATGAGGTAAATATAGAATTATTAAATCGTAGAAGGAGCGAATTCCGTGTTAGCAGTCTGGTCGCACTATAGAGTGTGCGAGAGTCAAGTGCGGGTGTGAGTATGCCCTGCTTTCTAGGGACGAGGAGATTGATTTTTTGTTTTTTTTTTTTAGTTTTGGCTTCACCATCATGACAGTTTCTATAAATGGCGTACCATGTAATTCAATACATTGATGGTTAGGTGAGGGCGGATGAGCCCTTTCTTCTCTATTAAAATTAAACTTGTCACCTAGATGTAGATTCACAACTTAGACCAATTATAATGCCATTTGTCACTTCAATAAGATATGTTAATATTAGCGCCCAGTGTTAATGGTGTTATCTTTACTATTTTTTTTTTTTTTTTTTTTTTTTTTGGCTTCTCATGACATTTTCAAAATGGCTACCATGTAATTCAATAATTTTGTTAGGTGAGATGGAGCCCTTTCTCCATTAAATTAACTTCAACTAGATTAGATTCAACTTAACCAATTATAATCCATTTTCACTTCATAATTCACTTTTATATGCATTTTTTTTTTCTTTTACAAATTTCAAGTAATTTAAATTTGACTCAGAGAGTCATGCTTTTAAATTTGAAATAATAAGATTTTATTTTATTAAGGCAAGTAATTTAATTCAATTTTTAAATTATATATATGGTCAGAAAAAATAATTTAATCTTTTTTAGCTATTTTAGAGTTTTTACGAGTCATTCAATTAAAAAACAGAATTTTAATCCATGGTTAATATTTTTAATATGTTTTTCTTTTTCATAATAACGTCCTAACTTCCTAAGTAACTTCAAATGAATGAAATACAACTACTTGTCATTTTCTGTTATGGGAAAAAAAAAGTAAAAAATATGTATTGATGTGGATATAAAAAATAAATTAATCATTATTTTTTAATTTTATGTTTTTGGAAGAAGGAGAATGGTCCAAGGAATTAGGTGTTGATGATTACGTATTTGCATTTCCAAAAAGATAAGGTAAAGTTTGTAAAACATTGTCTCAGTCCCACCGGTTACCGGTTGGTGAGATCTAGTGATTTTATCATGTTTTGGATAGAAGAATTATACATTTCTCTACAACTATTCCCATCTATAAATAGGGCAAAATATATATATCAGAATGCATAACAGAGAATAACGAGATTCTGAGCAAAGTATAACAATCAACATATTTAGTAGTAATGGCTCCAGGTCATCAACAAGAGCAGCAAAACCACCAAGAAGGTGGCCACGCAAATCTTGCACAGAGTCTTGCTATTTACAAGGCAAGAAAATAGTTATACTTTTTTCTTTAAGTTTAAGCAAGAACTGATGGTTGTATTTATTTAATTTTAGTGTTGTTGTTTTATCTCCTGCAGGATATTCTTGAAACTAAGGAGCCTGAACCAGCAGAGGAACAGCAAAACCTAGTTGGTAGACACCAGGAAATTGGCCACAAGAGTCTCCTGCAGAGTGATGCTCTTTACCAGGCAAGCATTTCGTATTTAATTATTCTTTTATTTACTTATTAAATTGAAATTTATTCATTTATTTATCTTTGTATTTGCAGTATATACTTGAAACTAGTGTATATCCTAGGGAGCCTGAGCCATTGAAAGAGCTTCGCGAGCTGACAGCAAATCATCCATGGTAAAAAGAATAAAAGAAAAAGAAAATTCAATTCATATATATAATAACTTATACTGTTTCTGATTTATTAATTCATAATATATAAAACAGGAACATTATGACCACTTCAGCTGATGAAGGGCAATTCCTGAGTATGCTAATTAAGCTCATCAATGCTAAAAACACAATGGAAATTGGTGTTTATACTGGTTACTCTCTTCTTGCCACTGCTCTTGCTCTTCCTCATGATGGAAAGGTAAAGTTCTATCAGACAATCTTTTTGTTCAGAATTGCTTAAAAAGAATAATTATTAAGTTCTTGTCAAATGCTGCAGATATTGGCTATGGATATCAATCGTGAAAACTATGAACTGGGTCTTCCTGTCATTGAAAAAGCTGGTCTTGCGCATAAAATTGACTTCAGAGAAGGCCCTGCTCTTCCTGTTCTTGATCAATTAGTTCAAGATGTAAGTAAAAGAAAATATAGCTTTTTTAGTAGTTAACATTTATCTGCTACCAGAAATAAACAGATAAACCAAAGAAGCCCTGAGATTCAATTGTATTATAACCGGAAATTTTTACAATTTACAGGAAAAAAACCATGGCTCGTTCGATTTTATCTTTGTGGATGCTGATAAGGACAATTACATTAACTATCACAAGAGGACCATTGAGCTTGTGAAGGTTGGAGGAATTATTGGCTACGACAACACTCTATGGAATGGGTCTGTGGCTGCACCACCTGATGCACCCCTAAGGAAATATGTTAGGTTTTATAGGGATTATGTCTTGGAGTTCAACAAGGCCATGGCTGCTGATCCAAGGATCGAGATTTGCCAACTCCCTGTTGGTGATGGGATTACTTTGTGCCGCCGCATTAGCTGATCATTTTAAAATGGCATATGTATAATCCATGTTTGGTTGTGCTTATAATATCCAATAATCAAATTCCAATACGAGTTTAAAGATAGCAAATGTCTGTTTTTTAATATTATCGTGTTAAAGATAGTCAATCCTCCAAACAAAAATAATTTAAAGTAAAGTTTTATATTTATAAAAGGAAAAATAGGTTTTACTAAATTATTTAAGTAGTCCTATTATTTGGTTAAATATCCAACGCATCTTAGACATTTTGCTCCGTTAACCTAAATAGTCATTCTGTAAATTTTTTTTTTTTGTGTTTTTGCCGTCAAATCACAAGAAAAGGCAACAGAGTGTTGAGAGGGATCTTTTAAAATGACAAATTTGCTGTGTTTTTGCCGTCAAATCACAAGAAAAGGCAACAGAGTGTTGAGAGGGATCTTTTAAAATGACAAATTTGCCCTTAATTTCAAAAGGGCTTGTCAAGAACAATTCACGGTAAACACAAAACCTCTTTGAACCTATTAAATTGATAATAACCGCGAATGATAGAGTTTCAAGAAACCAAATTTCTATCCGGCATTTGATCGAACGTCTTGTATGCCAACTACAATTCACGCTTGGATATAGTCAATCTATAAGTGGTTCTTGCGCTTACATGACATCTCTCTCAGAGACCCAAAAACAATCCCTTAACGGTCTCCTCGTCTCAAAGTATGCCTCCACTGCCGAAACACCCAAAACCGCTCTCAGGAATTCCTTACACAATCATGCCTTCAGCTCCTTGTTGCGCGGCTCTCAAATCTCGCGCCAATCCCGAACCATGCCGTTCATCGCCAAAAAACAGGGAGACTGTAGCGTGTTGTTCACCCACCGAGTCACTACCTTTCTGCTCAATACCCCTAAGCGCAATCTTATCACACTCATACTCTCTTTTTGCAAGTGTATCGCCGAGGTGAATCGGAAAACATCTTTGGTCTCGAGATTAAACTTGGTCTCGAGATTAAAGTTTAACTATTGGGGTTTTCTCATTATATCACTGTGCATCAGTGTGAGTCTATATTCAAGGATGCAGAGACAAGGCTCCTGATGCACATCACAGGTTTACTTCCCTGGCTCTATTTGCATCTCAACAAGGACACAATTGAGATCCTCCTTGCTTGTGTTTCATCACTACTATGCAGCGAATGGTTCCAAAGCACTCAGCTTTAGCTTTTGGGCACTTGTTGTGATGTTGCTCATGCTCAACGAATGCCCTTTGATGACGATGATGATGATGATGATGATGATAATAATAATAAGGTATTAAAGTGTTTTTACTGTGGTTTAACGGCAAAAGTATAAAAAACTGGAGGAAGGAATATTTAGGATGCGGGAGCAAATCGTCAAGAATGTGTTGGATATTTAATCAAACAATAGGACTATTTAAATAATTTAGTAAAACCTCAAGAATAAAATAATAATTTTGCCTTTATAAAAAAACGAACTTTTCAAGCGATATGATTGTTCTTACAAGAGCGAGAATAAAAAATCTTGTAATTTCCTTCTAGAAAATTGAATAAAAAATACAAGTTACGAGATAACTCAATGTCAGTCAGAGAAAAAACGCACCGTTTCTAACCAAAATAGGAAAAAAAAAAAAAAAAAAAAAAAAAATCCGAAGAATAGTCAAACGCACCATTCGCTTGATTGTCTCTAAAAAAAAAAAAAAAAAAAAAAATCCAAGAATAGTCAAACGCACCATCGCTTGATTGTTCTCTAGCAGAAACTTGTGGAGTTGAGTAAGTGGTTGGGCTATGTTGGGCTAAGCTTAGAAGGGCCGAGTTTTTAATTAACTTTTTCTGGGCCGTTTGAGCCTGAAAAGGCTGAAAAAGTAAAAAGAAGAAAATGGTTGTGTTTGTCTCTTGTTTGGTAAAAGAGAAAAAGGGAAAGAAAATGAAAAAAAAGTTTTTTTTTTTTTTTTATTGATTACTATAGTGTCTTTCGTTTTTCCAATGGAAAATAATAACTATAAAGACAAATTAAATACGTAAAACCATTAATTTTTCCTCCAAATTACTTCTTGTTTCCCTTTCTATTCATAAATATGTCTTACAAATCAGTATTATGTCATATCAATTAAAACTATTTCCATGTTCTTACTTTGTAATTTTTTTTATAAAATATGTATTATATTTTTGAAATTAAAGCAGAAATAAAAATTTTGAATTTGAATTAATAAAAAATTAATAAGAAATTACTTGCTTATACTTATATAATAGTTATATTTTCTAAATTCAAAGGGGATAATATGTTTTTGCTGACAGCAGCTCTCTTTGCTACTAGGTGAATGTTGACCGTCGAGTCCTCTATAGCATTCTTTTTCTAATTTCTTTCGTAAAATGTTTTGTTTTTTCTTTGGGTTGTTGTGACATTTTGAGAATGGGTACGTGTATAGAAGAATATTAAGATGATCAACTTTAAATTAAATAAATTTAGTGGGTTGAGTGTGCATAGTGTTTCTTGCAGTATTAATCCGTCAATTTATGTAATTCCAGATAGAGACGAATGGTTCAGTAAGTCAGGAGTTGATGATTACAAATTTGCATTACAAAAAAGATAAATGAAGTTAGTCAAACAGTGTGCTAGATGAATTTTACTTTATTTTATTTTATTTTAATTTAGGTAGATGAATTATATCTTCTCTACCAACCACTCTCGGCCTATAAATAGAGCAAATTAAAAATCCATCAATATCCATAACAGAGAAGACGAAGATCATTATAAAGCCAAGTAAGGTTTAGGCATTTAACTAGCACATTTAGCAGCAATGGCTTCAGTTCATCAACAAGAAGAGCAAAACCTCCAAGAAGGTGGCCACGAAAATCTTGCTCAGAGTCTTGCTATTTACAAGGCAAGATACCTTTTTCTTTAAATTTTAAGTTGGAACTAATGATAGTATTTATTTAGAATTATCATTTTTTTTATTTTAAATTTGGAGTTCTACAACCTAGTTCTTGTTTATTATCTCCTGCAGGATATTTTTGAAAATAATGAGCCTGAACCAGACCAGGATGTTGGCCACAGAAGTCTCTTGCAGAGTGATGATCTTTACCAGGCAAGCTTTCATATTTTATTCTTTTACTTTCTAATCACTGTAAAATTATTTTCTTGTATTTATTTTTGTATTTGCAGTATATACTCGACACTAGTGTATATCCTAAGGAGCCTGCGCCATTAAAAGAGCTTCGCGAACTAACAGCTAATCATCCATGGTAAAAAAGAAAATTCAATCCATAATAATTTATAATATTAGCGATTTATTTATTTATATTAATTTTTAATAATAATAATAATAATAAAACAGGAGCATTATGACCACTTCAGCTGATGGAGGGCAATTCTTGAGTATTCTACTTAAGATCATGAATGCTAAAAACACAATGGAGATTGGTGTTTATACTGGTTATTCTCTTCTTGCCACTGCTCTTGCTCTTCCTTATGATGGAAAGGTAAGTTTCTGTGAGACAATCTTTTTGCCCAGAAATGCCACAAAGAAAATAATTAATCTGCCTTTAAATTGCAGATTTTGGCTATGGACATCAATCGTGAAAACTATGAATTGGGTCTCCCTGTTATTGAAAAAGCTGGCGTCGCACATAAAATCGACTTCAGAGAAGGCCCTGCTCTTCCAGTTCTTGATCAACTAGTTCAAGACGTAAGTGAAAACTGAAAACTGAAAACTGAAAACTCAAAAGTATAACGTTTTAGCATTTTGTTTTTCCTGGAGAAATTGTGACGGAAAATATTTTACACTACAGGAGAAAAATCATGGGAAGTTTGATTTTATCTTTGTGGATGCTGATAAGGACAATTACCTTAATTATCACAAGAGGAATATTGAGCTTGTGAAGGTTGGAGCAATTATTGGCTACGACAACACCCTATGGCGTGGATCTGTGGCTGCTCTACCTGATGCGCCACTAAGGAAACATATTCGGTACTATAGGGATTATGTATTGGAGTTCAACAAGGTCATAGCTGCTGATCAGAGGATTGAGATTTGCCAACTCCCTATTGGTGACGGGATTACTCTGTGCCGCCGCATTAGCTGATCATTTAAATAATCAAATTCCAAGACTTTTTTTTTTTCCTTGTATAATAACATAATGTATTAAAAAATAAGCTTACGTTGCCAAGTGAAATGGGTGTTGGTTATTGTTTTCTGGCAGAAACTAGACGTGTTAAAGAAGTGGCTGGGCTATGTTGGGCTAGGCCTAGGAGGGCCTAATTTTCAATTGACTTTTCCTAGGCCATTTGAGCCCAAAAAGACTAAACTAACTACCTAATCTTAAGCTTTCTAGGGCTTGCAAAGTTAGGAATTCAACCAACCAACTAACTAACTAACTAGCTAATGAATTACCACTATCCCTAGAGAATGGATTGTCCAGTCATAGTAGAGACAATAACAAGGAACTTTTCTCTATCTTTAGACAATCCTTCTACCAGGTGGGTTTTTGTGATTTGGATAAGGCCCGCTTGTCCTTATACATTGCATAAAGGGATCAATTAGGCCCAACAAGCCCATCTCTATTTTGTTTTTAAGAGAAATTAAATTTTATTAACAAAATACTAGGAAAAACCTGAGCTTAGAATATATTTTCATAACCTTCATGCAACAACCAAAGAGCTTTATAACATGAGTGCAATGCTTATATAACACTATTAAAGGTGGTGTTTGGAAAAAAAAAAAAAAAAAAAAAAAAAAATATAAAGGTGGTGTTTGGAAAAAAAAAAAAAAAAAAAAAAAAAAAAAAAAAAAAAAAAAAAAAAAACAGAAATAGCACATGACACCAAAAGTAAACCATAATGGCTTAGCTAAGCTGGTAGAAATATCTTATTTGACAACTAATTAACTCATTGATCACGTAAAGTATATGACCTTTTTGCTTTCTTTTTTTTGTTTTGACTAATAACCAAATCAAGAAATTAAAAAATAAAAATAAAAAAAAGCCACAAAGGACGCATCTAGATTCTGCATTTTTTACTTCAAAATAAATTGATGAAATAAAAAATATATAATTATAATAAAAACTAATTATTAGATGTTGCATCATACTGTTTTTTTATGATATTTGATAAATAAATTTAATAACTTATTTTTAATTATTTATTTGTTTTATCTATTTCTTAAAAAAAGCATTGAGTAACACCATTTTATTACAAAATAATTTTGTTATATTTATTTTCTGATTATTTTAATAGAATAATATTCGCAAACAAATGAAATTATGACAGGAAAATGACCACATCCTTTCTTGCTTTTTCTCTCTATATAATTATTTAATTAATTATGACTTGGCCCGCCCTCTGCCGATCATATCATAGTCATAATTCATAAAAAAGATTCTGGAGATTCTTTCATTTCTTTCTGTTTCCTCTCCAGATACCGTAAAAAAACAAAACAATGGATGAAAGAGCAGAGATTGATCGATTACCAATTGACCTGTTAGCTCATATATTTGTTCTTATAAATTCTTTCACTGATTTAGCCCAGTAAGTATTAGTGCTTTCATGATTTCGTCGCCAACTTCTTCTTCTTCTTCTTGTTTTATTTTCTTGATGAATTTCAATTTGAAAAGAAAAAAATATCAAGTTTTGATTGGTTGGTAATTTTTGATTTTGTGTGTATGAATGGATATTAGGGCCAGCAGTGTGTGCAGGGTATGGAAAGAAGGGGTGAAGCTGTCTCTGGCAAGGAGAAATTCTTTGAGCTTTGCAGGGTTGAAAATGGATGATAATTCCACTGCCCGTCTTGTACGCTATGCTTACAGCCTTAAAGAACTTGATATGTATGTTCTGTTTGTACTCTCTCCCTTTCTATTTGTGTATTTCAGTTATAAATCGGTTATTTAGATAGTAATCTGTCGGGGTTAATGAATTTTTGGTTGATGGTAATGCGTGCGAGAAAGGATATTATTTGTCGGTAATTTGAAATTTCAAGTTTCTGTTTATATTTTTCCTGGTTTTTCATTTCTATCCATGTATATTCACTTTAATTATGATTCTAAAGTTGTTTGATTTAACCGAATGCATGGTTGCTAAAAGTGTTTTTCCATGTTTACTCTTAATCTTTCTTATCCTCAAAACTGCTTGGATTTTGAGAATCACTTAAATGCCAAATGCTCGAAGGATTCAAGCATAAGCATTGATGTTATGAACACGATTTTGTAGAAATGGCAAATGGGTATTAATTTTAGAAATTCTTGATCCTGAGAAGGTTCATAGGTACACCAGAGCCTTTCTAGCTTGCAGAAGTTCTGATCTTTTTAATTTTGATATAATTAGCCATTGATGCGATTTGAATTTTCTATTTCTTTTTCCAGTTCAAGGAGCCGTTGGGGTTGCCAGATAACTGACAATGGACTGTGTGAAATATCTTTGGCAAAATGCATTGGCAATCTAACATCAATATCTTTATGGGGGATGACCTTAATCACAGACAATGGTGTTGTTCAATTGGTACGAGATAATCTCTAACCCTCAGTACAATAACAACTCAACTTTAGCATCACCGCTATTTTGACATAACCTCTTTAGCTACACAGTTTCTCTCTATCTTTACTACTTATTGATGTTTTGGTTATGTATAATTTTCCAGTATCCATTCACTTTAGAATTGCTCTATTAAGGAAGATATGACTAACTTAACTGCCTTCTTCTATGTCTTTCATTTCTCTTCACTTTTCAACAGATATCAAGAGCTAATTCCTTGCAACACCTGAACGTTGGCGGGACATTTATTACCGATGAGTCTTTATTTGCTGTTGCAAATAGTTGTCCAAATTTAAAGGTGAGATATATGGGAATATTGAACCATTAGGAAGAACTTGATTTTATACTGACCTTATTGTTTCTTCATTTTTGCTTAGACGGTATCATTATTGACTGCTAAGATGATTCCTTCTGTTTTCTTTAATAAATGGTTATTATACATCTCTGCTTTCTTTTTCAGACCATTGGCCTATGGAGCTGTCGTCATGTAACAGAGATTGGGCTTCTTAATCTTGTCGGTAAATGTCGAAAACTGGAATCGATTAATGCATGGGGAACCAGAGTACCTGCAGACTGCTTTATTTGTTTGCTTACTATCAGTCCAGCCCTTCAAATAAAGCATGGAGGATTTCTGGAAAATATTGGAAGTGCATCTATGTTGCCTGTTGCATGAGCTGCTCATATCTCTGACTTTTTTTTTTTCCATTTTTTGTCGTCTATGAAGTTGCTTTTCTTTGTACAGATTGTTTCTGCTCTGTATCTGTTATCATTTTAAGTTAAGGAATCCAGTAAATTTAGTAAGTTAAGCTGTGTAATTCAAATTGCAGCCAAGTACAGCAGCGTTATAGTGATAATCGTGTCTGCAAATGATTCTGCATTTGCCCTGTATAGAAGACTGATTTTTTATTTTGTACAGTCAAATGTTTACATGTTTCAGGTTTTCTAATTCAAAATACTATGTAATTCCAGTTGATTCGGTCGGTCAACAAAATATACACAACATTTTATTATGATTCCAATTTTCCAATTCCTACTGTCAGCAGAAATTATTCATTTTCAATCTTTTTTTATCCGACTGGTCTGGAGCATAATTTGAAACCCCCTATGATCGAGTACCTGTGTTTTTCAGTTTCACTCCCAAGACATCACATAAACTCTTATATTTAAAAGACAACTCAGGTAAAAATCAATTCCAGCAGCCTATATATATGTTTCAGAATATTTGCAAGATTAACTAAAGGCCAGAGTATGTGTGTGGGAGAGCAAATCTGAAGCAGTAGAATATTGAAATACAAGTATTAGCATAAACATAAGGAATAACGCTGGAAGCGGTTAAATATATGCTCAACAGATTCTACTCGAGATGCATATGGACCTGAAAACAGAGAGAAATAATCTGTAACAGGAAGAAAAGATAGAAAAATTGTTGCGATAATATGGGATGTGTGAGTTTTTGACGCATGAATTCAGTATTAAAAAATGAAAATACATTCAAGTTACCAAGAGGAAATTAGTTCTTATAGTATCAGAATTGAAGCTTATAGGATTTCCTACTTCCAACCAACATGTTCCTCAATAGGTTTCCCCTCACTTCGTGATATATAATGATTTTAAAGAGGATAGGAATGGTATTAAAATGCATTTATTGTAGCAAACTGGAAATATGTTACAGATGCCATTTCTGACAATTAGGATGATTACGGACATTATCATCAGCTAAAGCAGGAATATAACAAAGTTAATTCACTCTAGTTGAATTTACTTTAGGAGAGTTCCTTGGATAATGCATTTTTGCTTATGCAAGCAAAACACTTTTTTGGATCTTCCTAGAATTATTAGAAGTACATTTGCTAACATTGGAGAGATGTTATATCCTAATCAAGATGCAAAACACAAGAAACAGCAAGAAAGCTTACTACTGCAGAGAACTAAGTGGTGAAAATTCAATTTTAAGGATGCAGCGCAGCCAATAATTTAACAATGTACACTGCATACCTGAATCACTTCTTGACATATTCTAGGCATCTCTTGGCCGCTATCTACCTCAGATTCCTTGCTCGTCCTCATTTTTGCTTCCAAATAAGAATCTCAAAAGTTCTTTGTTTAAAATCACACTTCATACCTCTGATAAGTATTTCTTTACCTCCTCTATAAGGCAGGAACGTGTTATACCAATCCTGACCGGAGAATACAAACAGACACTATAAGCCTCTACTAAACAGTAGCTCACTGACTGTCTAACTGAAGGAGTAGCTACTTAACCACCTAACCTGGAAGTCATCCATTGCATTCATAATATAAATGCCATCAATAGAAGAGAAAACAAATAGAAAATCAAACAATTTGGAGAAATGGCTGATGAAGCAGATCTTGAAAACTGAACAGATCCCGAAAAGCTTCCTGCAGTAGTAGTTGTCACAGGACTTGTACTAGGTACTGCAACATTCTTGCAAGATCCAAAAGGCGCTCCAGGCTGCATGATTCAACAGAAAATTTATGTAGCTACAAGTTAGAAGCTTGCCACATATGGGACCCAATGAAACTAAGGCGATTTTTGAGGAGCTATCTACAAAACGAGACATCTATGTCTTATTTAGACAACTAGTTTGGACAGTAAAAGATCAAAATCATTGATTTTTCAGACTCCACAAAGCAATTAAACAAGAATGTGAAAATGAAATGATAACATACCTGGCAGGCAGTCACGGTACTACAACCACACAATGTCTGGCCGTTCATTCTATCCAAAGCATCAAAAACACCACCACCATCACTTCTCTGCATCATTTTTTTCCGTTAGAGCACTTGATCACAATATGTTTAAGTGCAGTGCTTTGTCCAAGTACAAAATTAATACCATGTAAAAGTTGACTGCCAAAAAATTGGGCATTACATTCCCTGCTGCCTTATAGCAGGTACCAACCATCTGAGCAAGTGGAATTGAATGTTCTTTGCAAGCTTCACTCTCAACTGGATATGTTGGAAAATAATTTTCTAGTATAAGAGATGCACTTCTGGAATTAAGTGGCTTTGACTCTTTTCTGTTTGGGCATGAGCCTGGTTTTACCCCAGGATCCCCAGCTGAAACCCAATATATAGTCATCAGTGTTATCGGACAACAAGCCAATAATCAAGGTCACAAAACCAGCAAGTAGTTATAAATATGGCACTCACGCTCATTTTCCAACATATACTTCCATTGATAAGCAATGCCTTCCTCTGCTTCCTTAGATGCAACAGAAGTGAAAACCAGAAGCCTGTGATTCTCTTGTACCATCTGAGTCACAGTGGGCCAGTCCTCACCCTTCTTGGGCATCTTGGAGACAGGAAACCAATATTTATCTAAACCGGCGCTTGTGAATAGGTTTATTAATCCTTTTGGAGTATGCACGTAGTCCTCAATTATAATGGTCACAATCTCAGTTGGATTTTCGCTCAAGAATGCTTCTACTTCCCTCAAGGTATTAATTGCAGGTCCCTGAGAACAGCCCATTTGAACGAATCACTGACTAATTCACAAAACTACTAGCCAATCTCAATTAGCTAAAATGATAAAATGGGAAAGCACATTACAAATGCTGTGAAGTTGAAGCATTGCCCTCGAAACGAATGGCAGAGCCAGATATCGCCATCAAAATCATACATATCCAGCATCAGTCCCCTTACACCATTCTAGAAAACAACAGAAACGCATAAATTAACAGAATGCATCTATCGATTCGCGCAAAAAACAAACCAAAGGTGGGAAATGGTTTGCCAAATAGTCAAGAAACCAAGTGCATGAACACGAAATGTGCAGTTGAACATTACTCTAACTTGGACAAATAGATGCAAACGGCAATGGCATAATCCAGACTCTCAATTTCCTTTCTCAAATCCAGAACGAAACAAGGCCTCAATGAAAATTGAAAACCGACCCCAGGGTAAGGGGAGGGGAGAGACAAAAATGAGAAGAAAAATACATACCCTTAACTGATTAGTAACAGAATCTTCTTGATTATAAAATGTCAGTCTTTGAACACCCGGCAAAGAAGGTGCATCCACAATACTGAATGAGTTATGAGTCACTAACCACGTATACTTGTTAAAAGGCAACCCATCAATCTGCACATAACAACACAAAACATTTTACCAAATTTTAGCTGAAAAGAGTCAACATCGTGAACAAAAACGCAAACTTTAGAACAAAGAAGCTCACAATAGAGGTGGGTATGATAGCTTGGCCCCTCGTGCAGACAGGTTGATTCTTGCCCAAAGCAGGGCAGTTTCCACAAAAAAGCCCCGCCCCACAATTTGTAGCTGCTGTACATGAGTCCAGCACCTGAAATTCCTTGGCAATTCAGTTCCATCGCCAATAAAGAACAGCGAAATCATATGGATCAAAGATAATTACTGAGAGAAAGAAAAGGTAATACCTGTGCATGTGCTATGAAGAGAGAAGAGAGTAGCAGAAAGAGGTACAGGTATCCAATTGCAACAGGGGCTCTGCATAAGGTACGATGGTCCGCGAAGCACGCAAACATGGCCACCGCTTATGCAGAGCTCGAGAACTGAGGGTAGAGACAGAGAGAGAGAGAGATGAAAACTAGATACAGCAGGTACAAAGCGAAAGAGAGTTTTACTGTGCAATGAAGCTGACAATTTTTTTTTTCTCTTTTTTGTGGGGATTAAAGGCGGGCTTAATCACAGCACTTTAATTTTTCCTTTCTTCGAGGGAAGAATAGAGATAAGCACTTTTTCTCTATTTTTATACCACCATTTTATCTTTTTGAACTTTATTACTAAAAAACGACATCGTTTTCAGCTCAGTAAGTAAGAATAGCGTACTCTAAGCTTTTGGGTTTTCCTCACTTTGTCAGTGCCTGGCACGTGGTGGGGTAGGTTAGCCACTTACAGTGTTTTTCGGGTATTCATGCTTTTCTTGTCAAGGAGCGAATTAATAGGAAGTCGGGATAATCCACGAGGATTGTCTATTGTAATAAATAACCGATTGATAATTCTAAAACTCCAAATGGCAGGAGAAAGTTGGTGGTTAGTTGGGTTTTGCCTTTTCTCTCCTTAATAAATGGCAAATGAAATTATGTGTGAGCGAATGGCCAAGTTTCTTTAGACGATAGGGAAGTTGGTAGGTTTGCATAGGTTAGAACTTTTAATGCTAACTGGCAGAGGCAGCTTGCTGTAGCTACCGACTTCATTAAATACTTCTTCTTTTGTTTGTTTGTTTTTTTTTTTTTTTTCTAATACTATATACAAGAGATATGTTATTATTTGAACCGTACACTAAGCTTGAACAGACTTTCACAATTATAATTTCAAATACATCATTGTAAATTATATCAAAATCTATTAAAGTCAATCCTATTCATAAAGAACAGTAATTATAAATCAAATAGTGAGGGGTGGGAATTTAAACTAGAACTCAAAGTATCAACGTTTATCCTTTTCTATTAGGCATCATCTGCATTTGCTTTGGTATTAGGAAATGCATAGCATATTTCTATTAATTTTGATTAAGCAAAGTGAAAAGGAGAAGAATATACCAAAATGACAGGTTTCAAATATAGGGTTAAGATAAAACAAAGGACTTGAATTACAAAATATAGAATATCCCTTTCTCTCCTTAGTCAACACGCCCCCCAAATCTCTTGTCCATAAAGGAGTTGCTATCTTGAAGATTAGTTTTCATTCTAAAAAAAGAAAAAGGAACATTAGCTTCTAAAACTTTTTACCGTCCAATTGTTTATACCTACAAGCACTAGGACACCTAGGTTAATGCCTCTATCTGATTTTAACTACTTAGACAAATCGCAAATCTCTAATGCATGATAGACTCCACCTTCTAAAGAAGAAAGCTTTCTATAATCTGTCTCCATCGGTTAGATTTTCCTTTCTCCACTTGTTTTTTTATAGGTAAATAAACAAAAGAAAAGAGGAAGGTCTCTATTAATTGCAGTGTCCAAGCAACAAACAAGCGCTCCCTACAAGAATCCATTAGAAGAAATAAAAATACCATGGCACAGTTTAAAGCTAACAAAGATTATTGTTGAAGGGATTTGATGAGATTACAAAACATTTGTCCTTTACATGGATGGTTCAATGTTAGATGGTATTTGATTAGCTGAATTTGTAGTTTTCTTTTCCCGCTTTAGTGAATACAATTTGATGAAGAATAAACATATGATGGAGTGCTAAATCAAATAAGTTAAATGTGGAGATGGCAATAGCCTCTCAATAAGAAAATGAATGAGCTTGCATCTATCCTCTTCAGGTCAATGAGAATGATGCTGCTTCTCCGTGTTAAAGAATTACAAAAATTTTGAATTGAGGATGTTAATAAATGCTCAAACTAAGCAACCTTTTTAGCACGGCCACTTGTATGAGCCCCATCTTCCTTTTTCGATCCGCTTGCTTCAGGCTTCCTAGCCCAAGCAGGCGCCCTGTCTGGTTCATAACGATAATCATAGAAAAGTTCTTCTCCCGCACTAATCCGTTCTTTGGCAAATATGCCCACCCGATGATCCCCTGCAACCATTATGACCTGCCACACATTGGTTGGAAGAGATAAAAGTGACATAAGTATCTGAAATGTTTTGTTGCAAGAGTTTCTACCCATAAATCAGAAAATAAATGCAAAGTAGACATACAACACACCATGTGCAACAATCGGACATATACCTTTGCATAGCAATTTGGATCTGGTGAGTGGTTGGCAAACTTCAATTTGTCACCTTTTCGGTAAGCATCAAGGACAAACTGCACGATATAATATGGTAATCATAAGAGCATGTAAAAGATAAATTTCGAATCTTCCCCTAAAAATCCTATTATGGTTCATAAAGATCATGCCTGATCATTCAGATTGAAGAGAAAAGATGAATTTTCACGGTCATATATCTTCCCACGCTTATCTGCTTCCCTGTGTGAAATCAGCTCTCCAGTGTATTCACCTAGATATTCATGCTTACCAACACTATTCTGGAGAGTAACCAAGTATTATTCATCAGCGAGATGAAAGCCAAGCAAATAACAACATCATATCTAAATATTACCTTCAAGAAAGCTCCCCAACCAGACACATCGGATCTTCCAAGTAAAACCTGTACATAGAGCAGAATGAGGCTCAAGATGTTACTAGGGTAAGGAAAAAGTTTTCTCAGGAATGGTTCTTGAACAAACCCCCCCCCCCCCCCCCCCACGCTTATTCTTGCTTCCCTGTGTGAAAAATCAGCTCTCCAGTATGCATAATTCACTGCATAGATATTCAATGCTTACCAAATATTCTGGTGGTAGTAACCAAAATTTAGGGTATTATTTACATCAGCGAGATTGAAAGTCAAGGAAATAACAACATTCATATCTTAAATATTACCTTTCAAGAAAGCTGCCCACCAGGACACCATCGACTCTTCCAAGTAAAACCTGTTACACTAGAAGCAGAATGAGGCTTCAAGGATGGTTACTTAGTGTCTTGGTAGAAAAAAGTTTATATCTAGAATGGTTTCATAGTGTGAACAAACCCCCTCCCCCCGCCCCCCCCTTCTTTCCATCCATTGGTTAATATATGCTCTTTTGTTTGATGAGTATATTTGAAAGCAAAAACTGGGAGAAAGAGATAAAAGGGAGGATATGTGAGTTACCCTTTGCTGATTGTTTGAGAAGGAAGGCTTTCATATTCCTACCCCCCCCCCCCCCCCCTTCTTCCAATCCATCTGGTAATATATGCATCTTTGTTTGATAGTATATGAAAGCAACTGGAAAGAGATAAAAGGAGGATATGTAGTTACCCTTTGCTGTTGTTTGAGAAGAAGCTTCATATTCCTACATTCATAATTGTCACCTCTTTGGTTAGGAACCCCAAGAGTACCATCACCGCAACTGCAATAAATCAATTAATGAGCCAAAAAGGTTAAAAGTGGCAGTGAGGAGGGTAGGCAAAAGAATATAGATGCACGGATAGATAGAAAGAAAAGTGTATCTAGACAATCAATTACGTAGAAAAATCAGAACTTTGATGGTCAAGGCATTATGTTTAATTATGCATGGGATGCAGAATTCTTTTTTATCCATGAATTAATCATATCTATAAGATCTAAAGGAGTAAAAAACTCGCCATTCGAAACCCTAAGATTCACGAAGAATAAATGAATGCATTACATGACACAATAGGCAAATATATGATACTTTTACCAATTATATTGCCAATTATGTTTTAAGCAGTTACTGTAGTGTAGAAAAGAATTATAAATGTTAAAAAAAATTATAATATTGCTCTCTTAGCCTCACGTGTAGTGAATCAGTAGTTGTAGCAGTATTTATAGGGTTATTGTGATAGTAGATGCAATAACCGAGATGCCATGAGATAGGGAGATAGAGGACAAAGTGGAGGTGCCTGGCTTGATATGGAATTGATGGTGCAAAATAAGGTCATCAAGAGTGGTGTACATGGTCATGGTAGCAGCAGCAAGCTAACTTCTTTTTGACAAGCAACTTCACAAAACTAGAACTTTCACCTATGGACCTAAACTAAAACTTTTGGACCCAGAGGGTAAAGCTGTCAAGTTCATGCATGATGGGATACTGTAAGGCCCTTGCAGCTTCTGGTTATTCTGCGAGGGCCTTACAAAAACCTAAATCCTAATGTGATCCCAATGTTAACAGATACAGTGCATTATTACTGACTAAAAAATTTTTATGATCTTCAGTAGCAAAAATATAACAAAAATCTGGCTTTTAGTTTTAAAATATAAGGACAAAACCCATTTTGGTAGGCAGGATGATACAATATAAACAAACAGAATGCATATCACATGACATATATTGCTAAGTGAATTGTTACCTTGGAAATAAAAGGCTGGGAAAAATAAAACTAGCATTCTGAAATAGTAACTAATAAACTTGGTATTATGAAGAAGATTCAAACACCTTCCTGATAGGGTGGATTCTTTTTCTTGAAGACAAGGCAAAAGGAGAAAAAAGAAACAAGATTGCCTACAAGTTTTGAATTACTATAAGGACAGTTACTAACTCACCTGACCCAACAATTCCGACAAACATCTGGATCACATTCTCTGTCTGCAGCAAAGCATGGACATTGACGACTTCGACATTGACTTTTAGCACAATGACAGCCCCTAAATCGGTTCTTGCAACTCTTTGGACATCTAGATGAACAAGTAAAAGTTAATTGTATTCTTACATCATCAGCAAATCAACCACCTGTGCGAGTGTGTATGCAAGTGAACAGGCAGTCCGACATCTAAATATATAGACCCCAAATTGTTCAATTTGCAAAAGAATGCAGCTCTATGAGAGAAATCGTAACAAATTTAAATATGAATGAAATTCCACATTTGGAAAAGAAACAAGGGATACAAAAAAAAAAAAAAAATCTCGATATCACATTCTGAATTTAAAACAAAGGCTCACCCACAGTACTTCTCACAGCATGTGCCATTCAACAGACAGGAACACTGCTTTCCACAAGCTGTTCTGCAACCACATGGGTTATATTGGCGGCATGGCTGATCTTTTCTTTCAGTAATTCGCTTCCTAATAGAATGATAAGCAGTAGATTTCCAAGAATACTTCAAGCGGCGAACTCTTCCTCTTCTGCGTAAAAATCTTGATCTTCTTCTTACTTCATTGTTACTCTGACATCCGGTTCAATAATGCCCCCACCACACCATGATTGAAAAAGAATATATGTAAATCTCACAAGAGAAAGAAGTCATAAACAAGACACAAGCAAGTCAATCCTAACCATTGATCCATTGAAGTCAAACTTGGAATATCCTTCACCAAGAGAATTTGCAGCATCACCTGCTTGGCAGGCCAGCCGATTGTCAGAGTAATTCATATATTGGAAGACCTCCCAACAAGTCTTTAAACCATTTAAAAGGTTCCTCGCAACTAAACAACTGTCAGGAAACCAAAGCTCACCATTAGATGATACAAAATGGAAAAATAATCTCTTGGGACTGATAAACTAAATTAAGATGATTTGCTTTTATAGCAATGAACTTGCGATTCAACTCTTTTATGAGGCAAATCAACATATAATGAAAGATGAAAATTCTAAAGATTTAACAATCAATTTTCAAAAGTTCAACAATTTTCAATACTTCATATGAGACATCACACTTTTGGAAGCCTATCTTACACCTAAAACATCAAAAACAAATTCAACAGAGAATACACAAAATATTCCCACTAACCTGTTCCGTCCGAAAATCTCTATACCTTTCTCAAATAGGCTTTTTTCAAAAGCTTTCCAAGATTTGCTATCACCCAGCTCTCTTTTACATACATTTTCATCTATGAACTCTTCTTTCCTCAAAGTGTCATCACTACTAGTTGCAGGTGGATCAGTAATCATCTCACTTGGAGGATCATCATGAACTTCACCTTGAACCAAGTTGTTACTATCCTGAGTTGTCTCCTTCCTCCTAGACCTTCCAGTTGTCACAGATTTAACATTCTTACAGGAAGAAGAACTAGCATCTTCATTTTCTTTACGCGAAGTAGACCGAAGCTTCATATCAGCAGGCAAAAGGCTTCCACTAGCAACAGAGTCAGTATCAGAGGCTACTGTTTTCTTCTGCCTTTTCCGCATGCAACTCAGAACACGTTCAGCCACTCGTTTGCTGTTCCTCTGACAAACCCCATATTTTCCACCAAGCTTAGTCTTGGAGGGTGAAATGGCATCCTGCTGAGGTCCAATCTCTGAATCACTGCTCTCTGAAACATTTTTTGCATTTGACGAAGCACTTTCACTTTGGCTGGACTTTACTTTCCTTCTGGCAGATTGAGCAGAAGACTTCTTCCTTGAAGTAACGTGTGCCACAATCCCATCAGTTGGACGGACAGAATTCTCTCCAATGTCACCATACTCAGAAGAATTTGCAATACCCACTCTTTCTGACTTCAAAACCTGACATTAGTAAGATGCAAAAAAATATAGTACATATAATTTTCCCCAATGCCTATGTATTTATAAAGAATAATATCAGATAACTAAAACCAAATACAGACCGATTTATAACAGTGTGGACCACATGGTACATTTTCCTCATCTAGATGGTTCCATGGATGTTGTTTCTCAGCCTAGCAGTATGTTGCATTAATAAAACAAGTAAGATTTACCACCATACATTCATGGAACACCTTGACAATTAGTCTTTCATGATTCACTTACAGGAAAGACAAGATCCTGTGAGCATCCATGCAATCTGCAATCAAAGACCTGCCAATATAAAATAGGAAGAACTCTATTTAATTACCAGAAGTTGGCAAAGAACAACATAAAACTTGGAGTACAAGAATGTTACAAGACATCGACGGCAAAATAGGTTGTCAAAAGAATCCAAAGCAGCTTCAAGATCCTTGTCAAGAAAAGAATTCACCGTTTGTGCATCAGTTTCTCCATTTTTTGGATCCTCCACAGCCGTCTCTGCTTTTGTAAGAACTTCATATCTTGCCTGTATAAGATGTTTGATGGTGTTTCATATCTGTGTAAAGCCAGCACAAAGAAAATGGGAAACAGCTGGACCAAAGCTTACACAGTGACCAGTTTTATCAGATATTAAAAATGGAAACAAGATTGGTAGAATAGACGTAATTAGAATATTCCTTCAGGTAGAGAAGGATAAATGAAAAGACATGACAAAATTAAAAGAAACATAGAGACTGACAATACCACATTCTTTTCACAAATGCATACCTCAACTTCAGAAGGGCTTCTAGAAAAACATTGTGCCAGTGATTCCATCACTGAATCAGATGAACCAACTTCTTTGACAGTATTTCTGGTACACAGGATCAATTATCAGTTTTAATTCACATGCAGAATTAAAGCATATAGTAATGTTGCTCACAAACACTGGGACAAAAATCAGGAATGAGAAGCAGAAGATATATAATTTGTATCAAATACATAAGGTTCTTGTGCTAATTTTCATCCACTCCCCACCACCCCCTCCCCCCAAGAGAAAAAAAAAAAGTACACCCAACACACATGCACAGAAAAAGATTCAGCTTATTTGCTTAAAACTTGGCACAAATATGGACACCCATGAATATTGATGCACCTCCCATTCGTTGACAACATTGCACCCTCATTTTGCTTCAGCTAAAACGTAGAGAAAACTACTGTCTTTAGAATAGAGGAAGCATTCAACAGATCAAATAAAATTCTTCTTTTTTTTTTCATTTGAGAAACTTGAACCACAGACCAAAACCAACTCTTTTGTCATCTGAATTAAAGGCTTCTTTGCCTTAGTTTATTAGGAAAAAGAAATCCAGTAACTACTAAATTTCTCAGTCAATAAAGAAACTTGAATCTAACAACAAGAAAAGGAATGCAAGAATGCTCATAGTAAACAAAATAGAGCCTTTATTGTAGATTCACTAATGTGCCTGTTTGTAGTCAAAATATAAAAGTTATTGTAATTCTAGAACTCTAAGGAATTAGGAGTAGGGAAAAAAAATGAATAATCCAGTTATAATAAGTGAGCTTGATCAGAAAATAAAAGGACAATAAATAGCATAACAGTCAACAATAGATATCACACTGTGATATAGAAACAGGAAAATGAAAATAAAAAGAAGAGGGACAGTGCAAAAAGGAAAGACAGTAGATCACATTAGATAACATTATTATACCAACCGAAGAATATAATCTTCAGAATCTACAAAATCTCTCTTTTCCTCCTCATCGTCAATTATTTCCTCCTCACTATCACTGCAAATAAGTGCTTCACCACCATTTTGATCATAATATATTCTCCTTCGACCAACCACTGATTGATCTTCTGTCATTCTTTGATTTCTGCACAAGGCATATCATAAATTGAAAAAATAAAATTAATGAAGACTTGTAGAAATAAGCAAGGTGAGGATAAAATCCACAAAATAGTATTTAAAGAAAAATAAAAAGAGATTTGAGTTGAGAGAACATGCAACTTAATATCTAGAGACTAGAAACTCGTTATCCACAATTGTTACTATCCAGCAAATATGTGCATGAGACTTCTCGTGTTACAGGATCTAAGAAGGCTCATTTTTATGCAACCTATCCATTGATTGTAGTAGGCTGTTTCCAGAGTTTGGCTGATAACTGGTGTTATGCCCCAGCAAAAGGTTCAAGTAGATTTGAACATTCATTTCAAAGACCATCTGAAGCAACAAATAGTGAATGCACCAAATCTAAAAGTTTATAACCTTTCGCACAAGCAAATGAAGATATTAAAATATAAAAAGAATAGTTAGCAATAAGCCTATAGATAGAAAAATAATTAATAACTTTGACACACCTGTCCAAAAAAATCCATGTAGTGTAAGGGGGTAGTCTCTTCACTTCTGGGAGCTTAATAGGGCGAACAGCACTCTTGACTGGAATACTGGATCCCAGAAGGACTGCTGTAGAAGCATGACCATCTTCTTGAGAAGTGTCCTTATCTCCATTACTCATGTCAATACCACTGTGCATACCAAGTGCATCTTTTTGCCTCTTTGTTAGTAAATCTATACTACCATCTGTTATGTTAATCCAGTTATTTCTTCTTTCATTTGACAATGTATAAAGATGGTTTGTGACGCCGAGCAACTTTTGCTCATTATCTTCCATTCGTTTCTGAAAATATCACAAATTCCAATTCATAAACAATGATAACTAAACCGAAAAGCCAACACACTAATTAAAAATACTATGATACCAAAAGAATGCACCTTTATTGAAACACACCGGTTAACTGCAAGTTGCTTCTTTAAAGAGTCAATAACTGATAAAATCTCTTTTATTGTTGGAGATGTTTCTTGTGGTTTTGTCATCTGTAAAAAATATCAAGAGTCCATCTTAATTACAATTCAGATTCCAGAATCATACACAATCACACAAAAATTTAAAAAAAAAAATCCCTAATGAAACAAAAATAAAGAGCGAGGTAGAGAATTGGATAAACCAATACCAAACAGAAAAAATCAAAGAACATAGAGGCTTTGAGCCAAGTGTACCACGCACAGCTCCTAAAAAGATAGATTATGACTTTCATTATCTATTAGCAGAATTTCCACGTCATTGAACGGCTTTTTTTACTTTTGGCAATATTTTCACAATTTTCAAGTTGAAGCTCCAGCACCGGAATAGAGTTAAAGTTCTCAAGAAAAAAAGAGTAACTCAAAAACACTGATACCTTAGCGACTCTGTACAATGCAGCTAGAGATCTCTACCTAAATTACCTTATATTCTAATGCAACGCAATTATCTGATTAAACACAGGTTTTCTATTGAGTTAAAAGCTACCGAGTCACCAAAACCCGGTCAACAGATAATAAAAAGAAACAACAAAAAATAAATAATTGCGAATTAGCGCCATCAAATGAATCTAATTCACATGCATTTAGATATAGTTAACAGAATGGATTTCAAAGGCGAGTACCGGAGAGTTCTTAGGAGGCTCCGATCTGCTAGCGGAAGCAGACGGCGAAGCCTTCGACGCCATTGTAGGAGACGAGGCAGGTTGGAACCCGAATCGACAATGGGGACCCGGATCAGGATCCGATTCATGCAGAAGCAATGCAATGCAAAGCAAAGCAAAGATAAAAATTACGGTTGAATAAAAGTACGAGGAGGAGGAATTGGCGGGTCGGCTTGAAACCCTAAAGTCACATACTATCTGAAAATTTCGAGAGGTTGCTTTCCAATTTTTAATTTAATAAAAAAAATTAAAATAAATTATCTTTAATGGTTGTTGGTTTTATTTTATATAATAAAATAAAATAAAAATTGGAAAAAAGGGGTTGTCTGTTGAGAGAGATAAAAATGGGGGGGAAAGCAAAAGGTCAGACTTTATTTTGAATTATCTACTGTGCGCTCTTCCTTGTTCGGGCTTTGGACAAATGAGTCGTATTCACATGCCATGTTTTGTGCTTCTCTTTTGTGTAACCTTTTCCAAACTTATTAGTAGTAGTATTATAGGTCAAACAAACAACAATCGACCTATTGGCAAATGTAGTGTGACCTAACTTTGAAAGGTTCAAAATTTGCAACTTGGAGATAGATAACAAATTCAAGACTATCTCTTCTTCTCATTACCAACTCATTTTTCACATTGTTGAATTCAATTCACTTGTTTAATCATCAACGCGTTTATAAAATGTTTTATTTTTTAAAAAAATAAGTTCAATTATAGTCGGTTTGGATTGAATTTATAATATTTGTATACGATCAGCCAATAATAATTAATACATATCATGTGTCAGATTGAGTGTAGTTAAATTCAAGTTAAGTTAAATACAATAGATTTATATATAAATCAAATTACATCAACAGAAAGCAAATTGTTTAAATCAAAAATCAATATTTCAAAAATAATATACTTGAATTTCAAATTTGAATCAGGCATAGAAAAATTTTGCAAAACTTCAAAAATAATCTCTCATTTCTAATAAATATATATATATATATATATATATATATATATAACACTTAAAAAAACAAACACGCTAATTTTAAACATTTTAAACCCACGGACCATAAAACATCATTTTTGAAAATTAATTCTTTGTTCACCCATAAGCGTTAAGATTAAACCTCACGATGAGATGGAGGTATTGGCTTATTTATATATAATATATAGTGATAATATATATATATATATAAACACTTAAAAAAGACAAACACGCTAATTTGTAACATTGTTAATAACCCACGAGTGAACCATTAAAAAATCAGTTGTTTGAAAATTAATTTCTTTGTCCACAAAGCGCTAGAGAAATTAAAACCTCACGAAGGAGATGGAGATTTGTGATTTATTAATTTATAGATATTGTAGTTGGTTTAAATCTCCTAAATCATTGTGATTGAAGGAAAAAAGAGAGTGAGGGGAGATCGTGAGGAGTTGGAGAGAAGAAAGAGTTGAGAGGAGATAGGATGAGAGAGTATTGTAACGTGCTCATTTCTATTGAATCGAGTTGATGTTAAATTAGAGGTCGGGTTGATCTAAAACCGCGGTTCGATCCATTAGAGTCTAGAGTTGGCCTAGAATGGGATCGTGATTGAAATCAGGAAAATGAAAGTGGACTTACCCCTTGAAGAAACAAAAAGATCAAAGTATAAGGATTAGGGACTGCTTGCACTAAAATATAAAGTTGAGTATTGAGTTGACCATTTTGACACTTGAGTACCATTTGGTAATTTCAATTAAAAATCATCTGATATTCTAGAGACTACCCTGAGTTCCATTTCATTTTCATTGTCTTCATCCTATCTCATCTTCTTCCCCTACTTCCTCTTCCACTTTCCCCTTTCTCCATCACTTTCTAATGTATGAAGAATTTTAAATGGATCAAGCATATTAAACTTCTATCATCCAAGAGAGAGCTCAAGGTTAGAAGGAAGCTAAAAAGAAGATTCCAAGCTGTAACGTAAGGTGTGCTATCCTTAGTTAATTCATTTCCTTGCGAATGATAAAATTGTGTGGGTGTTTGATAATGAGAAGATATGTTGCTTAATATTGAGTAAGATGACTTGAAAATGGTGGAAAGAATGACATGAGATAAATGAATAAATGAAGTAGATATTGAGTTTTAACGTGAAACAGGTTTTGCTGGAAGAACCCAGTAACTTCACCATGATTTGCGCCTATTTAATGATTGGAATTAGGAAAGGGGCATAGAAAAATTATTTTTCCCTCTATTTGTTAGCTTACATGGTTTTTGATCACCCAAATCGGAGTCGTTAAATGAGAGATATAACTAAAATAACAAAGATCTGCGCAGCTGGAAAACACGACGGCGCGCTCGGCGAATTTCATTTGCGCGGCTCGCGAATTGTGCCTGTAAACTCTCTACTCTCATTTTTGCACCTTCTTCGCGCTCGCGACTTTCATTGCGCGCTCGCACATTGGCCTGTAAACTCACTACCCTCATATTTGCTTCTCTGGCGCTCGCGAACTTTGCATGGCGGCGCTTCCGAATTGTGTTCTGATTACTCTTTTGAGCATACATTTTCTATGCAATTGATTCCTTTGGTCAACTTGTAGCCTCCAATTCATTCTTAAAACAAAAAATGACACACATTAGAACAATGCATCAAAAACAAATCAATGGCAACATGCAGAATGATGTGAAATGAGGTAAAACACTATCGATGTATAAGTTATGCATCTAGGCAATTGTATTCCTTTTCTTCAACGTGTATGTCTTCAATCATTTAAAAGCAAAAGACAACATGAACACATGATAAACACCATAAATGCCAAGCATGGCAGAATGGTGTGAAGACTAACATGACACCAAGTTGCGCCGCTTGCGAGGCTATCAGCAACATTGTAGAGCAGTACAATTTTATGAAATGATAACAGTTAATTTTATGACCCACAAAAGCATGTGAAAATAAATGACACAAGCATGCAAAAATTATGACACCAGTTTTACATGCTTTTTATCTATTTGTCATTCCGAAATATCTGCCATTGAGACGTTGGGAGATAAGGCTATGCTCGACATAGAATAAGATTTGCGCCCCATACAGTTGTACTCCGGCTTACACCGTCTGAGTGGATATATATATAGGCCCATACAAGCCAAGCATTACAGTTTCATCAGTTCATACAGTTTCAACAGTTTCAACAGTTTTCTTATCACTTCGGTTTCACCCATAACCTATTATGAGCATGACAGAATCTTGACATAACGATTTGCATAATCAATACAGATACTAAACAGCAAGAAAAGATCATCAAAGGTAAAATGAAAGTATCATGATATGTGTGGCTTACATTCAATGTGATACATGTTGTATTATCTACATATGATATGTGCTTATATGTTTGCTTTATTCGTGCGATATTCAACTAAGTTTTAATCAAAGTTGCAGAATTCATAACAGCAATAAGAACATCCAGGTAAGATCATAAAAGTATAAATTATATATGCTAAACAAGTTTACTTATTGACTCTTTTAAGGAGTTCTACATCATGAGATTAAATCAGTAACTTATGTATGAAAATGTGACTAAAAGTGCATAAGTCAACGGAGGCAAATGAAGCGCAAGTAAGACATATGAAAAATATAGCATGTTATGTCATTCTTACAATGTTATATTTGATTTCATTCATACAGACATAGATGAACAGCAGGTTAAGATCATTTGATAGTATCATGATATGGGGATTAAAGTTTATGTAAAGGAGTTATAATAAATTAGAACTAAATTATTTATGGGTATAAATTAGGAAGTTTATTCGTTGCTATAAAGATGCATTGATGTCTGAAATTTACTGAATCGTATGATTTTTCAATGCGTTTTATGCAATTTGTACTTTAAGTTCAGTTGCCCATCACAGGCTTTTAAGTATGTGAAGTAGTGGGGAGCGAGCCACTGAGTTTTATACTCAGCGCCGAGTTTTATCACGCGGGAGGGTTGAAATGTGGGGTTCCTACTTGAGAACTTGAGGGATGACTATCAAAACAGAGAGTGGACTAATGTTTGGGGAGTAGTAGAGGTTGAGAATTAGATAATTAAGAATTAGTGGAGCATGGTATGTAGAAGATTGGTATGGCACTGGTAGTAATTATGGACATTGTTGTAGACTAATTGGATGTGTAAGATAATGAAGTGAAAGGTCATAGTGAATTATGTTGGTGTGTAAGTAGTTGGAGGATAAGAATAATACTTAGTGAGATGAGTTGAAGGATGGAACTATGGTTACTATATTGTAGTAATAGTCATAATACTTGAGTATAGATGCGATGAAGTGGCAGATTAAGTTGGCGAGTGATTAAATGCTAGTGAGGGGATTTATACATTATGAGCGTATATATATAGAAATGATTATGGTGTATGAGTGATTAGTTGGAGAGTATGTGATAAGGTTTGGAGTCAATTGGGGAAATGTTTGGTATTCATGTAGGTTAGCAGTACAGGATTGAGATCAGCAGTGAACGGACATGAAATTCAACCAGATGTGAGGCGTCCGGCTCGTTCCATTCGGCGTTTGAGACGGGGTGGGACCGGGACAGATGTTACAAGGTATACTACCGTCGAATGCGGTAGTAGATACTTGTGTACAGTTAGGGAGGAAAGATAAGCCGTTTCAAAATAGGGGGCTTATCACGTTTGGTAGTTTCGAGAAGTGAGGATAAAATTATTTGTTATGTTTCAGTGTTACTGTTATTATATGAGTGCGAATCAATTTATTTACTTCAATTAGTAGTCGGTGTCTGTAGAGGACGATTAGTATTAGAGAGTTATGAGTAAGTATATTGAATTGATGTCCAATAATGGTTAATGGGGTTAATTTAAAAAGATTTAATGGAATGTGTCTTAGGGGATGACGTAAAATTGCCAATGGTGTAACGAGAGTATTGATCGGAAACACAGAACGAGTGATATGGGATAAGGGTATTGTTTGTTGGAACTTTTCGATTATTAGGTTAACGGATGAAAAATGAATGGTAAAAAACCCCTTAGTGGAGGATTACTAGTATAGAGCGTGTAACATAATTAGGAGAAATATGGAGGGGACTGTATTGGGGGTGGGTGTATAAGTTGGTCAGATAGATAGAGAGGAAAGTGGATGTCAGGATGCAAGAGGGTGTGTAGTGAATAATAGACTTTGCGACCGATTTTCCAATAGGTCATAATAAGGAGTTATTTATTGTGATAGAATTTTATATAGAGGAATACGTCTCAATGGGAGAGGATTTTGCAGAATGTG